GTACATGTACCAGTGCCGGATGCAGAGCTGCTACTGGGAAATTGCGTCTGTGCGGTGTCGATTCCCAACGTATGCGGATGACAACTCCTTAGGTGTCGGTTCAAGGATCCATACACATCGCCTTTTTTTGAAATGATACTGCTTCTTGTCATTGGACAGACAATGGTTGCAAACAGCCTAAAAATGATTCGGACCTTTTTGTGGATTTGGGATCTTCTTGTAATGTTGTTGGAAGATATCGGACGCCGTTTTTTCACCCCTACCCGGACCACGACCATAGACAGAGGATGGGTGGTGCATGTCTGGCTCATTCTGCGTCTCTTTCTCGATCTCCTCCGGGCTCGTTCCAAATAGATCATCTAAATGGTCCTGATAAGGCTGCTACTCGGGCTCTTGTTGTTCGGACTGAACTGAGTCAAACAGGGCTTCTATTGTTGCTTCATCAATATCATTTCGGACAGAAGGAACATTAACATATATAGATGGACTGACAAATTCAGGAAGTGGAGGTGTCGAAGAAGACGTGCCGTCTCTGTTTATTTATGGAGGTTGAACCACGACCACCACCACCAGAAGTTAACATTTTTTAGTATAAAATAAAAAATGTAGAATATGTATACAAAAATAATTAGAATAAAAAATTTAAATATAAAATATAAGTTTAATATAGAATATAAAATACAAAATAAAGGATTTATTATGTATATATATATATATTATTTTGTGTATATATATATTTATGTAAAATATATAAATCGAGCTTTAAGAAAATAATATGAGAGAAAGAGAGAAGAGATTAGAGAGAGATGAGAGAAAGAGAGAAGAGAGGAGAGATTTTGGGTGAGGAAAAATGAGGGGGAGGGGGGTATTTATAGTTTTAGGAATTTTTTAATTAAAACCGATTATTCGGTTTTTTTTTTAGTCGGGACCCGCCGGGTCGGGCGGCACCGGCGGGTCAGCTACGGGCAAGGACATGGGAGGCCGTTGGATCTCAACGGCTATATGATCCAACGGCCAAGAT